ACAAAACCAAATTGTTATTTTTTGAAACCGCATATTTGTTCCACGAATAGTAGGTGGATGAATGAGCGAATTCACTGGGTTAGTGTGGATGGAAGGCCAGTTCGTGCAAAAACAAATGCGGTTTCAAAAAGATCCGGACTCGTGTTGACGGAGCCTTAATGTTCAATACTAGTTATGTTCCGTGTATAAGCAAGCCAACACATCATGAGTTTGTGATATATTTTCCTTTCCTCTTTTTTTTTTTTTTTGGTTTCCTTTTTTTTTTTTTTTTTTGTTTTGAGTGTTTTTTATTCTTTATTTTCGTTTTTTGTCATGTTTTTTTTTTCCTTTAAAACTCTCATATCAGGTTTGTTGTGTACATTGGCTAGTATTTGGTATCACTGGATGAGGTTTTCGTGATATCTAGAATAATTAAGGCATTAGGCTGATTACACTTACTGAGACTGTGATTATTCCGGATATCACAAACACCGAATGTAATATAATTGTTTAAAGGAAAATAAGGACAAACACACCGTCTCACGGAACACAATTTGACGTTGCCAGGTTGTTGTTTGGAAAACCGCTGCTGTGAAACTTGGTAATAAGATTACAGCTTAACGCAAGTAGAATCACACGTCTTGCTCCCGTGTTAACCTGAGATCTGGCTCTATTTTCACTTCGTAAGGCTGCCTTTATTATTTATACTGGAGGGGGGAGGGAGGGGGGCGCAGACGATATATTTTAAGGGGCAAAATGTTTTCATGTCCCCCTCACATCATAGAGAATTTTATGACATCCCCCGTCTTGACCAAAAGAAAGAAATGACGAAGCTACGGTTTTAGCAAAAGGAGCAAAAAAAAAAAAACTTGAGGTTAAGCGGTTATTAACATTTTCGGGTATATTCAGTTTAGTACCCAGGCGTTCGATCCGTTACCGGTCACTGGATTTAACGCGAACTCAGCATTTACCATTCCCTCGCCGCGAGAGAAGAACGCTGAACGTCTTACGCCTGACGCCCAACTAGAAAAAGCGTCTGTTTTTTAACTTTTTAGCTAGTCGGACCAAGTACGTGATCGTTCGACAGCTCTTTATTTCTCCAGTCACAAGATGTACCTTTCACGAATCAACAAATTGTCGAAACGGATTTAACTACTTGACCCTTTAAATTGACTGAATAGACAGACTGCAGCTGGTCAACTTTCCATTTCTCGCAACTCGCAACTGGCATACTTCACAACTCGCAAAATACCTGGTCCCATAGAAAAACAGTTACGATGTTTACAGTACTAAACAAAATGATAATGGCAATTTTCAAATGAGTATTTAGATTATTCTACAATTCCCTAACATCTGAAATTTATAAACATTTAAAATCTAGAATTGCGGAGTTAACACTACTAAAATATACAGGAAAATGCTTAAAATATGACTAAAATTCTTAAGAGCTACAAATTATACAGGAACCACAATTATCGCTTAAAAGATCCACAACGTTAATGCGTCGTATGCTGGACTTAAAAGATTGTGAGCTAGGTTTGTCTTTGACTTTGCTGTCCAATTTAGACCATATACATGGTCCAAAGTACCTCATAGAGTACCGTTTCCCGTAATGTACAGTATTAAATCTGGTTATACGAAAATCCTTGTTTCTTACGTGATACTTCGATGACTGGACACTGAAAATGTCGCTGACATTGCTAGGTACCGTACCATGATTGACGTTGTACATAAACGCCTATTTTGTAGGCTACAACCAGTTGCAAAAATGTTGAAACACTCCGGCGAAAAACCGGCCTTTCTTAATTCAAATCACTGCTAGTCACACGTCTGTGAGATTAACACTCATCTCCCCCTCCCTTCCATTCAAAGTTGTTCCACTGAGTTTTGGTCATGGCCATGAGCTGGCTACTGTTATAAGGGGAGGAGGGGGAGATCACAAGCACAAGATCATGGGCAGGCCATTAAAGCCAAAATAAAGTATTTTTGCAACTGGTTGTAGGTAGATTGGCTAGGTTAAGAAGATTAGAGTAATCTACTGATTGTGTTTTACTTTAAAGCTGTCAAAATGTGATTAATAGTTGTTAGAGTAGCATGGTGATGCTCTCTTGCAACGTACGTTTTATCTATGTAAAGAAGAAGAATGTAAACGAGTTTCAAATATACTACCGTAAATCCTCTATTAAGCCCTCCCCCTTTTTCAGGGGAAGGAAGTTAATAATCCCCCGCTCCCCACCCCTAATTATTCTTCACAAATAATTGATAGAGGGTATTAATCAATCACGACCGTAGAACGTCCTGTGTACTGGTCCGGGATGGTCTATTTACCAACTGGAAGTTCAGAGTTGATTCTGATCCTCGGGTTTATGACCTAAAACTTGTACTTGAGCTTTTCCACTTTGTATTCTAGTTCTTTGTGGAGAACTGATACCATCGTCGTTTCTAAATTAAATAAGCCCCCCTTCTCAAATAAGCCCCCTGTATCTATTAAGCCCCCAAATGGGCTTGAAATAAATACGCC